TATAGTCTATTATATTAGATTATTATAGATTATGTACCATATATTATATCGTTAAAATATGCTTTAGCAATAATTAACTAATTGTGTTTTCCTGCAGGACACTGTCAACCATTTGCTGCTGATCTTCATTGATGATAGTCCGGTGAGTACTGACAAAGGTAAAAAGCTGTAATTTGGTCAGCCATTAAGGAAACTTCCATACCAAATTTTCTCCTGTCGTTTATCTCTACAGCCTGAGAAAGCAACTGAACCTAGTTCTTCATTGGTTCCATTCCTTCAGAAGTTTGCAGAGCCAAGAAATAAAAAGCCATCTGTAAGCAAAGGCAACACTTCTTTCCTTTCCTGTTTTTTACTTTACCTGTTGTTTTTATTCCACAAATAACTCCTTGCATTATTTACGTACTCACTGGAAGTTTGAAAACTGACTGACTGCATTTTTAATCTACTCAGGTCCTGAAACTGGAGCTAAAGGAGATCAGAGATCAGCAAGACCTTTTATTTCGGTTTATGAGCTTCCTGAAACAGGAAGGGGCCGTCCATGTTCTGCAGTTCTGCCTGACTGTAGGTAAGGTTGCCTCTGTGTGCTGAGACGTATTTGATGATCTTTAAAAGCTTTAAGCATTTGTGTGTTGAAGTGAATATTCAAGTCTCAGAACTGGGCAGCGTTGTTAAGCAAGAGATTAGCTTTCAGGATCTGTGTTCACTTACGTTAGTATGTCCTTATTTTGAATGTTAATCTTGGCAACGTTAATGTCAGTGTGGACTGTAGGTCTTTTTTGTATTTCTGTTTCATTCTCAAGTTAGCTCAATTTCATTCTCAAGTTAGTCTGCTATTAAAGATGCTGTTGAAAATAGGCTCTTAGGAATGAAATAGCAGCAGAACAGGCATATGACTGGTATAAAGGGCTGTTGAGGCGCTCTGTGTGTTTAGCGTGAACTGAAAGTCACGCTAAAAGAAAACTACCATTTACAATTCGGTAACTTAGGAAGGAAAAAAAAAATCTTTGTTCTGCCAGGAACAACTTCTTGTATTTATCCTTACTATAATAAGGAAGAATTGGGTTTAATTGCTTTTTTTTTTTTTTACTAATATTTCTATAAAGAAATCTGAATTATTGTTAGTAAGAAGGCAGCTGCATTATTACTTCAAGTTTTGAGGTATTTTCTGTTTCTGTTAATTTTACAGTCTTGCAAATTATTATATCTGCTGGAAAATTCATCGATGTTGTAGGTTGTTTCAAGATGCTGTTTGTTTACCAAGTTGATTTAAAAAAACCCCAACGTTTTCTTTCCTTTACTTCTCAGAGGAATTCAATGACCGAATTTTGCAACCAGAACTGTCAGATACTGAAAAGGTGTCTCTTCATGAAGAAGTACAGAAAATTTACAAAACTTACTGTTTGGATGAAAGCATTGACAAAATAAGATTTGACACTTTTATTGTGGAAGAGATTCAAAGAAGTAAGTTTGAATTTGAAAGGAGTAATCTACACTGGAATTTAAACAGCATTCGGTAATACAGTGAAGACTAATCTAAACATGATCAATCTTTCCTTTTCTCAGAGTTTTAAAAATTGTTACCCCCTTACTGTATTGTGCTTAAGCCTTGTTTTGTTAGTTTATTTTTTCATTTGTCAGACTTAGAGTAGCTTGCAAAGCAAACACACACTCAGACCAGAAAACCCCCAAACTTTATATGCCCATGTATATATTTATAATTATAAACTTTTTTATAGTTGCTGAAGGTCCATATATGGATGTTGTGAAACTTCAAACTATGACGTGTCTTTTTGAAGCTTATGAGCATGTACTTTCTCTACTTGAGAACGTTTTTACTCCTATGTTCTGTCACAGCGATGAGGTAAGTATGACAGATTTGAAGAGTATACTTAAAACAAGATTGATTTTTTTTTTTTTTTTTGGATATCCTATTTACAACAGTCATGTGCACATGTAACTGAAAAACAGGTCTTCATTCTCCACTTTAGTTAGCATGCCAGAGCTGGCACCGGTCTCATTAAGAAAACTGAACTTATTCTAGTTCAACACAACGTCAGCAGAATAATAATAATTAAAAACCCCTTCATTTTTGATGCAACAGTTAGTGTATGTCACTGCTGTTACAAAATCCTCTCCACCCTTTCTTCTATGCTTGCAGGTTTGGTGCACAAGTAACCTGCATGATAGACATAGAACACTATTAAGAATCTCTTTTTATTTACTTTCTAAAATATAATGGTACTTGAAGATACAAAGGTTGTATTTTGGTACCTTCAACGTTCCGCGTTCTAGCAGCCAAGCCAGGTGCCTGTTTTCAGGAAGATCATTCCGAGCAGTTTACTAGGTTGTTCTGTGACTGGGTTCTGAATGCAAGTTTAAACAAAACAGATACTCCCTACACTGGGCTGACGGCTGCCTAAAGCCTTCTAAAAGGAAACACTTTAGCACAGTCTGAGTTCTTGTCCCTTTCAGAGTTTGCGTGTGTAAATCAGGTTGCATGTTAAGCTTCTCACATTTGTTTGAGTCAGAATATATTGACTTGTCCTGGGAATGGCTACTTAACCTTATTTGGCGCTACTCGTAATAAAGTGCCTTTCTCAAAAAGGGCATCGATGGTCATCTTTGCTGTAATAGCTATAAAGGTTCAAATGCTTGATTATTTTTTTTTTTTTAACAAGGGGGAGACATGAAGTTTGATGTTTAGTTTCAGTTTTATTTCTGTTTTGGTTTTCGTTTTTTAATCCCAAGCCTATGAAAAGTAAAAGAAGTAGTCGTGGGAGTGTGTACTGCAGATTTGGTCTGTCCTTTTCCAGATGAATATTCTAACTGCAGGATTATGGTCAGCTTGCCTTATACTTCTGTTCCCGTTTCCTGAATTCTGCAATGTTGTTGCATAGTAGCCCTTGTCCCAGTCCAGTGTTGTCTTTGATACCTTATTTGTCTCTTGTAGTACTTCAGACACCTTTTAAGAGGAGCAGAGTCACCAACACGCAATTCAAAGTTTAACAGGTGGGTATGGTACAAAAGTGTTTTTCTTTGGAGGTTTTTTTTAGTTTAAAGCATCAAAATACTAAGCCATAAGAATTTTGCCACTGCCTGATACTAATTTGAGTAAAATTCTAGTTCTAATTTTGTTTTCAATGGACAAATTACATAATGAAGGAGCAAGCAATAGTTTATATGGAGGACGTCTCTCTGCTTTGAAATGTGTTACATTAAAGAATTTAAAATGTGATTTAGACTTCAACGTTTGAGAAGGGGGAAGGGAGGAATAAATACACAGTGAGAATAAGACGATGTGGAAATAAAGTGGTGATGTAATTGACTGTGTACATGAATACCATTTTGTTGGTGTAAAGTTGGATCTTCTTGGACGTTGGGTCTTGCAGGGGTAGTCTCAGTGTACCCTGCATCTAGCCAACCTGGTCATGCAGTGGGAATCTTGTGTTGCAACAAGGAGGATTTGTCATTTCCCCTATGTCAAATGTGTTTTCTGTCCCCCAACGCTCCCCATTGACTGCAGAAATGTAGCATCAGAAGGCTTACTTCTGGGTTTCGACTATATGCTTACCACCTTCAGGCTCTTTAAGGCCTGTGGAGAAGAGGAGCATCTCCTGTGGTATGGATGGGTGATCTGCCACTGTGGGTTTGGGTTGGGTAATCTGTAGGTCTCATCATTTCTTGTCTTTCATTTTATGCTGGCTGGCTCAGTCATGGACCAGCCCAACTGAATGGCTCTTATGGCCTGGCCAGAGGAAGGAAAACTTCAGTCAGTCGTTTGATTTGGATAAGCTTTCTTTCTTGGTATGAAATAAGATCCACAGTACTGTGGGCAATGCTAGTGTTTATCCTCTTAGATTGTTCTTCCAGAGGACTAACAGCAATTTATTTAACTACTTCTGCTTTCATTAGAGATACACTTAGCAGCAGCCCTCTTGGCTTGCAGCCTACTGTGAGGTGCATCACTGAGACCCCTTTCTCCCCTGCTGACGTTCTTCAAACACTGCATTTTCTCTTCAGTGTATCTCTATTGGTGACATCCGTAGTCTCTGTAGTTCTTGTAGATCCAGGACTCAAGCTTTGGTGTAGTGCTTTCTCAGATTGGTGCTGACAAGCTTCCGTCTCTTAGCAAAGAGGTATGGAAGGCAGCTGGACCAGACTGCATTTCTACCCTGTGTGGTACTCCGCTAGGAATGGTGACCTTAAAACACACTCCAGCTTCTGTCGAAAATGGCTGCAGGGTTCCATCCAGACCTCTGAATCTGCCTTCTGGTGTCTTTCCCAGAATTATTCATGTCAAGGTTGGAGAGTGTCTTGTCATACACTTCTTTAATCTAGTTAGAGTATGAAAACATTCACGTCACCACCTTGATGCTTTGTTTTCCAAAACACAGTGAAATTCCAGGCAGTTTCTACCTGGAGCTTGTCAAATACATCTCTGGCTACTAAATAAGCACATTTTGTTTGGGGACTGTTACAGCGTAATCCCCTGGAGTTCAGGCAGCATCCATAGCATTACTGAAAATGTATCTGGTTTACATTTTAGAACAGCTTGAATGCCCTGAGTGTATATGATTGTTTGTGATAGGAGATACTGTATATTCCTCTAGTGATGCCTCAGTGCTTATTTCGATGAAACAGAGGTCCTATCTGAAAGCGGTTTGCCTGTTGCTTTGGAGTCTCCCTCTGCAAAATCTGGTACAGAGCCACTGCCAAGGAAAAAAAAATTAAAGGTTACTTGTTCCAGATGTTGTCCATATGCATGTACCTTAGCGTGCCTTCTCTTCCCTGTTCTAGCATTAGTTCCAGTTGAGAGAAATTGTATGTGAAGAGATGAGTTTCGTTTTCCAAATCTTTGCTGCTTTGCTCAGGGTACTGTGTGTGTATTGCATACATAGCTGCTGGTTAAGAAGTCAGATGGCAGGTAGTAGATATGAAATTCCTGTGGAATGTACCTGTGGGTAATGTGTTGAAAGATTTTACTTATTGTAAGACAAGAAAATTATGGAGCAGCATCTAGAAAGTACAAGCGAGAAAGTAGGAAGAAGTGACTGTGTAATTTCTGTTTTGAATCACTTCTTTGAGCTGTACCAAATAATCATAGTTTTTTGTGTACGGATAGGAGAAATAATGTGCTATGAAAACAGCTGAGATTAGCAGTCCCAACTGTTTTCTGGAGTGTAAAGAAGTCATATGGAGGATATTCTGAAAACTTGGTAACTAGCTGTGATTGTCAACAGTTTGTCTTCTTAAACCGGTAATTTCTGCTTAATGTTTAATGTGTGTGGCCAGTGAAAACTGATGTTTAAATTCCAGTTCTGATGACTTAACTTTAGGTTTATGGAAGAGAGCACAAGAATTACCTTCCCCCCTCTCACTTATGAATTTATAATACATTACTACATTCTCAAAGGTATTCTGTTTTGGAAGCCTAACAAAAAAGACATTATGTGATATAAGCTCCCAAATTTCTGGATAGTGGTGTATCTGCCTTGATTTTCTACACACCATGATCACATGTAGAAACAGATGCATCCTGATTTCTCATCACTGGGATAGCAATAAAATTAAAGGACTGAGTAGAAAAGATGGTAACAGTTTTGGGGAGTGTTTAGGAGTAAACCCCACAGAATTAAGTCTGTAAGCAGTTGTGTGCAATGTAATTGCTTGTCACCATTAATTTCCAACTTGATAGGTTACGTTTCCATTTTCACAGTTAACATGACTGAAGACAGTAAAAGATGCCTTAAAATCAGTTCCTCTTGTAAAACATAATGTAAAATTTGAATGTTTTTAGTCCCATATCAGTTTGTCCAGAATTGCATAGCTTCAGTGAATTAAGCACAGTCCCTGTGTGCAGGGACTGTGTTTATGGTTAATCCCTTTACACGTCTAGGTTGGAACTACTGAGTTGATTGCTGAGGTGTTGGTTCCATGTACTAAGTTACGTAGAGTGTCAGAAACACACGACAGTTCTTAGAATCTGTGAAATTAAAAAAAAAATTAGTTTTTACTATATTTAATACAAGGGGATGGTGTTAACTACATAAAAGAATTTTGCAGCCTTTTCTTTGATTGGGCCAAATGAACTAGATTCCTACCTGACTTCTGAACATAGGTTAAAGGAAAAGTTAGTTGCCTGTTTGGCACTAGAGATAACTTTAAGAGTGAAAGCCGTTCTCTATAAATTAGTAGCCACTTGTGCCGAGTGTCACCACAACCTGAAAGTTTAGTAACTGAGGTTTTAAATTCAAAGGCCAAGATTGTGGTGATGGAATGTGCACGTATTCGCATTTCAAGTTTATAGAATTGTTTAGGTCATAAAAATCCTTTAATATCATCAAGTCCAGCCAACACTGCCAAGTCCACCACTAAACCGTGTCTCTAGGTCAGGAACACTTAATTGTACCACGTTTATTATTAAACTGTAGTGATGGTCGAAGCTTAGTCTTGTTGGGATAGGTCTGTCAAATTTTTATTCTATTTTATTTTAACAACATTTTGTCCTGGGCTCTGAGGTAATTTATGTGCCTGTTGTTGCAGAAGTAGCCTGAGTTTGGATGACTTCCGGTAAGTCTATCTAACACTCCATAAATGTTGTGTGTTAGTTGTGCTGCATCTATCGTGACTGCATCACACGGCCTTATAACTGTCCATTTCATTTTTAAGAACCATGTGGATGTCTTTTCTGGACTAAGCTGCATTTCCCCTCACAATAAGCTTTGTGCCTCATGCCCTCATCGCAAGTGTTTTAAAATTACTTAATTACTAATTTCACAAGTTTGCAATATATTCATATTGTTTGCTGGTAACGACTTGTCTATTGTTATTAATTCTGAAATGTATTTGCAAAGCTTGAAGCTTTTTGACCTGTGACTGCTACCTGCTCCAAAATTTCCTTTACTCCATGTCACATTTTTAGATCCTGTTTGAGATTTTATCCACTTAACTGCTTGTTTTGTCTTGCACACCTTCATCCAGGATAATCATTGTCTAACACTGCATGCAAATATAACCATTCTGAGTATTATCAAGCCCTGAAAACCAGCGTTTTGTGACTGTTATAGGTTTGATTGTAGCATATGCTATTTTTTCTAATTTGCTCTAGGTAGTTTGTGATCACTCATTACTGCCTTAATGGCTGTTCAGTGGTTTGTTTTCTCATTATTCATGCCTCTTTAAATACATGCTATCCAAACTCAGAAAGCAATTTTTTCATTATGAACTTTTCCTTAGAATTTATCAGCACACCAGTGTTACTCATACCATTCTTGAGTCTTGAGGGAAATTTATCAACTTCATTTTACGGGTTAGGAATCAAGGTATATAGGCACTGTGTTATAGTTTCCGTAACTCAGTGTATTGAGTTATAACTTGCTGGATTGTTGAGCAATAAGGAGTACTTGAGATATAAGTGCAGTTCATTGTGTGGTGTTTTTATTTTTGGGGAGGGCAGTGTTGTTTGTTTGTGGGGTTTTTTTAAGTGCAGTTCTATGCGTTCAGCATTTCTCCTAATTGGGTGTAGGGGTTTTAGTCATCCAAAAGAAAATGGTACACTGACTTCATAGGCATGTAAATAGATACTGCACTAATGCAACCTTTGTTCTGCAGCTATAGAGTGAGCAACACCTGTAATTTTTCTTGTTATGCATGTGTGGCTTCTGCAGTGTTTAAGAAAAAAAAAGAAAGAAAAATATATTCCAACTCCTTGTCCTCACAGCAGGAACGTTGGAACTTAATAGACTCTCCACTCAGGGCCCTGCCAAGAAAGCAACTACAGAATGACAGTGTAATAATGCTGTTAGGTGGATCAGCCCTAGGGGGAGTGGGATACTTTTTCTCAGTGAGTTTTCTATGTATATTTGTTGACAGGTCTTGAAAGACTTGATCTCTGTTCTGAACTGGCCACTTCCTCTTTCTTCCCTCCTGCCTCCAACCTGACTGTATCCTAGTCCCATCTCTTCCCTTCCACCTAGCGTTGTGGTTTTTTCTCCTATATTTACTTACCCAGTGAATCTGTTAGATTTTCATCCTGATACCTGTTTTTTTATATGCATTTGTTTTCTTGCTCAGCGTCATCAAAATTTTGATGATCCTGTTGTCTGTCCATCTCTGCTAACATCACCAGATTTTTCTGTGCTCATCTAACCTGGTTTGTGCTCTCCATGCTTGCTCAAGGATTTTTGCTAAACTAGGCCTATGTTCTCTCCATATGTTGCCCAGCATGTGTCTGTACCCTCTTATTCATCAGTTTGTGTTCTGAATTCGTATCTCTTCCTGCGAAGAAAGTCCCATCCTAGTTTGGTATTTTATACCTGTTCCGGTTTAGCGATTGCTCTGTACTCCTTAGGCGTGATTTTTGGGCTTGGCATTAGGGCACAAGGCATGGTTCCCAGCTGTCAGGCTGAGTCCTGGCTCCGTACAGCTCAGCACTGCAGTTACAGGCAAAGTCGTATTCTGCCTTCAGCTGGAGCATGATCCATGCAGGAAAGAACTGATCTGAGCCTGGAGTATTCTTACCAAACCTGTAAGCTTGTGCAAATTAATGTTCTTGCACAAAATCTGAAAGCTGCAGAAGTGTTCACAAGAATGATGAAAACTTGAAGACTCAAGCCAGAGGTCTGAAGGATTACCCTTCTAGAAAAGCTGTCTAGTTTTGTCTGAATAAGGTTTATATTTTGCTAGGCCAGTGTTGAAGCTCTTGAACAAGATTCAGGTAGGTCCCTGATACGTAAAACTTAAGTTCAGCACAATAACATGTAGAAGAAGTTGTTTAAAAACGGAGTAAAATTGTTCAAACATGGATTTAGACTACAAACAGCCAAGCAACCTTATCTTTGGGTAGCAGCGATAATTAAGACAGATGGTGCCTGTTGTCTTTGGAGCTGATACTAATACGAGATAGAAAAAGCAAAAGATTTGGTAGAGCAGTGGATTATTTACACAATTTTAGTCATGTACACAGTCTGGGTAAAATTATAAACAGGAAGACCGTTCGTAACATGCGCGTGTACATTTGGAGTCAGGAGTTGATGTTGTCAACATGGTTTTGTGGCAATGAAGATGCTTTACCGGTTGGTCTCTGATGTTCTGTTGGGACTGCTGTTGAGTAGTTAATAATTTTTTGTATTAAAGGAAAAAGAAACACTTTGGATATTTTTTGGACCTCTAAAGTACTACTTGTCCTTTTAAACTTAGTAATCTATAAGGTTCTTTTGAGTCGTTGATTCTGCAGTTCACTGTGTGGATTTTTAACTCTCCTACCAAAACTGTGTGTATTGAATCAACATAAGTAGTAACCACAGGCTGATTTGGATCAGGCCTTCTGTAAGGGCATAACAGGAATGCTGTGAAGTCCCTTTTCTCAGTAAGGGGTGTGCTTTCTGCCCAATTATCATTCTTTTTTCCATACCTTGTTCCTTTTTGGATGCTTTGTCATAAGTGGCAAGACTTTAAAAAGTCTTCATCTTTCAGTCAGACTGGCTTTTTTAGCCAAGATTCTTCAGTTGCATCTGTTTTCTGTCATGCTCCATCTCATTCCTTGACACATTGCTTTTGTCTGTTGCTAATGCTTAAAAGTCATGATCTATCTTGAATCATACATGCTTGTAAAATTCTGGGATGTTTATGAAAAATATGCATCTAACTACACCATTTACAGTACTTGGCAAGAGTGGATAAATATTTAAATGGGAGTATGTGGAAAAGGACAGTTAGTGACCTTCTCGGTGTGCATGCCTGTAGCAGTACGACAGTTTCTACTGTCAAAACAAAATTGTTTTGTGTAGTTAATTGTATATTCTATGTCCTGCGTTACTGGGATCCTATTACAAGAGTGTTAATGTTTGCTCATGGTTAAGCATATGGGAATCCTGTGTCTCTTAAAGGTGTAATCAAGCAATTCTGCCGATTGGTCAGAGAAAAAATTTGCCATAAATTAATTTCAATTTAAGTAGAATTGTAAATACGTTGGCTACTTGTTCATAGAGGAGTTTTTCTTACCTGCATAAGATGTGCAATGGCATACTGAGCTGCTGTGTAATATATGCCTTGTTTTGTGAACTCTGGCTTCTGAAATCCTAGGACCACACAGAAGAGAGGAGAGTCGTTTGGAATCAGCAGAATAGGCAACAAAATAAAAGGTGTATTCAAGAGTTCTGCAATGGAGGGAGCTATGTTGCCTAACTATAACTTAAATGAAGGAGAGGATGACTTTGTGAGTAAAAGCTTTAAATCAGTCTTTAAGTCTTTGTAGATGTTGGGTTCTTTTCCTTCTTTATTTGAAAATGTTGTTTCTGCCTTTTCTGCTGTCTTCTCTGGAGGGTTTCCATGTGCTGACTTCTGGTTGAGTTGCCATGTTTTCACTGTATTCATTGGCAGGCAAAGGCCATGTTAGTGTGCTGCTGAGCTTTAGTACAGAGAAGCACTAAAAGTTGCTGTGTCAGACATTTTTGTAAGCAATGAATTTTTCTCTAAAAACTTACCATGCCATTTTATAATTCTGGATAATAAGATATGCATAGGACTGCACGTGTGGCTTTTCATCTGAAACTTGCCGCAGGACCGTAAAACCACAGATAAAGTAGTGGAGAAATTGCTGTCAAGTTGGTCAGTGATTTTTTTCTCTGAAGATCATGAGGCAATAGTCCTTTTTTATTTGTCTTGGATGTCTCCCTCAACTGATGTTTTTATTTCATGCTAAACGGCAATGAATAGAGCCAATGGTAGAATTATGCATGGGACATCGGTACCTGAAGCACAGTTAGGGGACAAATAGAAAATTTTAAAAAGAGAGGAAGGGGGAATGGGTCAGAAGCTGTTGGTAGTCATGTATTTTTTTACAGTGCCTGCCAATTCAACCTTTTGTACCTGTTCCTAACAGAAAACAAACAAACAAACAAAAAACCCCAAAAACCATTTAACACCTTGTTAAAGTGCTAGCTCATTTTCCATAGCCTGAAGATAAAAGTGTGTAAATATGAGTTTATATTACTCACCTTGTTTGGAATTGCTTTCAGAAGAGGGTGGCAAGAACTCAGCAATCCAAAACGCTAGTTAGGTTGGTTTGTTTTGGTGGGATGTTTTTATTTAAGAGGAGGAAAAAAAGGCAATTTTTTCTACCGGCAATTTTTTCTGTCTTCATTCAAGGAGGCAGAACTGTTGCAATTAATTTCTTGGACAGTTAAGTTCTTGGTGTTGTAACTTTTCTTTTTTTTGAGGTGAGATTGTAATGAAAATGGGTTAATTTGCAGCACTGCTGTCTTAGGTTCTGCTACTTCTGCTACAGTAGAGGAATTAGAAGTATAATTGAAGCAGTGGAGCTCAGAAGGAACACATTTCTGTGCCAGAGCAAAGAATTTACTTGTGAGAAGTTGCTGAATTCATTGAGAGAGCCAGACAATACAGAGCCTAATCCTTAATAAAGGAGGTTTTCAGATGGACACGGTGGTTTTAGCTTAGGCAAGAATGGAACGTTTTAAGTGCAGCAGTGCCTCAAATCCCATTAAATAAGGGAAGATACTATTTTTTTTTTTTACTAAAAAATATTTTGTCTTTACTGTAGACAAAGTTTGAGAAATACCCAAGTCCTTTCACTTGGTAAGTGGATGGGAAGAAGAAATGGGAAAACACTAAACTGTGATAAGGTTACTTGGCATCTGAACAGCTGGACAGTAAGTGCTGAGGTGTAGTTTCCTAGCAGGCCTCACAGGATGAGAGTGAGGAAGGGTAAGGAAAACGTGATCTGGGAAACGACAGGATGATCTTTAAGGTCCCTTCCAACCCTAACCATTCTATGATTCTATGATTGTTAGTGGCAGTGCAGTATATAGACTTAGCAACTTTTTGATTAGCTTTTATATGGAGGATATGGGAGTTACTTCTTTCTACACAGATCCTGATTAGAATAAAAGATCATAGAATCATTTGGGTTGTAAAGGCCCTTAAAGACCATCTAGTTCCAACCCCCCTGCCATGGGCAGGGACACCTTCCACTAGACCAGGTTGCTCAAAGCCTCATCCAGCCTGGCCTTGAACACTTCCAGGGATGAGGCATCCACAGCTTCTCTGGGCAACCTGTGCCAGTGCCTCACCACCCTCTCCGGGAAGAACTTCTTCCTGATATCCAATCTAAACCTCCCCACTTTCAATTTAAACCCGTTACCCCTTGTCCTGTCACTACAGGCCCTTGTAAAAAGTCCCCCCCAGCTTCCTTGTAGCCCCTTCAGGTACTGGAAGGTGCTATAAGGTCTCCCCGGAGCCTTCTCTTCTCCAGGCTGAACAAGCCCAACTCTCTCAGCCTGTCCCCATAGCAGAGCTGCTCCAGCCCTCTGAGCATCTTCATGGCCACCTCTGGACTCGCTCCAACTGGTCTATATCCTTCTGATGTTGAGGGCTCCACAGCTGGATTATGTAGGATTATGACCAAAACCAGACTAGAAGTCAGATGTGAGATCTGATGAAAAGGGATTATAGGGGTGTGAAACTTTGCTAATGCAATACAACCTCAGGAGGCCCCAGTGAAGAAGGCAGGCAGAAGGTTATGGCCCCTTTACGAGCAGTTCAAAAATGGCTGAGCACTACCTGCTCTGAGCTCTTTTGCTAACTCTGTGCAGTGAGGGGAGTGTAATCACTGTTATCAGCCAGTAGGATAACTGGTAGGAGATGAGAGCTGCAAGCAGCGGTAAATTAGAGGGAGAATCAGAAAATGGAGTCAGGAGTTGAGTTTTGATCATCTGTTGCCTAAGCATTTAGTTTAGTCAAAAACTGCAGAATCAGGTAAGTCTGAGTGTTTCTAGAATGGCCTTGCATTTTTGCAAGGAGGTCCTAGTGGAGATTGTCTATTTAGAGCTGATGCACAGGTTTAGTCAGGATAGATAAAGTGTTAATTTTGCTGGCCAATAGCTCAGCCCTCCAGGGTGAGGGAGTGAGTGCAAATTGCACCCAGTTTGTACTGCCCCAGCTGCAGAAACTCAGCTGTTGCTGACTTGGAGTTGCTATTCTGAAATGTTGTTCTGATGTTTCTATCCTTCAACCACACAAAGCCTGGGGAAGGATGAGGGTAAGGCCTCACACAGAAGGCTTCATACCTGTAAAGCTACCTGACAAACCCTGTTGTGGTTCAGAGGGCATCTGTCCTACTTATTCCCTTCTTCAGTGCAAGTTTGTCTTGGAGTTTGTGAGTGCTAATTGTTCGTTCCAGGCTGGGGTTGGTTTTGTTTGCTTTGTGAAGGAGCACAGCCTGTGATTTAGCCCTCAGGTTGTGAACAGCCTTAGCTGAGCATCGTCTCTGTGCAGCAGCAACTGGGAGTGCTCACCGCCTGTCACAGTTTCTCTTTTTATCAAATAAATCGGGTAAGTGGAAGCGAAAAGGTATTATGAAATGAGGAGATGCAGTTAGTGGATCTAGAGAGATATGTTCTGAGAGGCAAAAATCCACACTCCAACCAGTTTAAGGATCACTTCAGTACGAAGTTAAACCAAAATTGGACAAAGATTGCTCGTGTGTGTGTTGAACCGTTTACACTTCAGCTGCAGTTGAGTCTTGGTGATGTGAATGTTGTAGCTAAGACACGAGCAAACTGATTTCAGGGATGCTGTATTGTCTTAATGCCTTAATTAAATTATCCCAACACAGGCAGAACTTGTTAAGGCACCTTGGCTTTGCCTTTGAGGGAAATTTGGCTTCCAGTGATGAAGCTAAGGGGAAAAGACTTGAAAGTGGGGTTCATGCTTTCCAGTAGTTTCACGTGCTGTAAACTCACGCGGTAAAATCTCCGATTTTAACTTCACCAAGTGGCAGTGCTCTCGTCTCTCTGCGAGGCTTACTAAAATAACGTAATCTTGGATTGTCACGTAACTCTAGCCTGTCTCAACATAGTTAATAGCTCTGTAAACTGCGGTGAGAAGAGCCAGGCACTGGCTGCTGCTGTGTACGGCACAGGCTGGAGGCAGGATGATGGGCTTGGGCGTTGCTCCTTGTGGGGCAGCACCTGCCTCCCCGCAGGATTGCAGTGTTTTAGAAGCCTTTGCAGGCTGGCAGCAGGCTAAATTAGATTCAAGCAGTTTTGGTTTTCTAAGGAAATGGGAATACTCTTTTTTTTTTTTTTTTTTTTTTCCCCACCTGCTTGCCTACGCTTGTGAAAATATAAGAACTTTTTTTTCCCCAGTGCATCTTTAGCGAGGGCTCATCATCCCACTGATTCTCCGTTCTGGTTTGGTTTTGTCACCTATTCAGGTCCAAGGCCAACCCTACCCTTCCTTCTCACAGGACCTGTCTCTGCATTTGCAAAAATAGTCATCATTCCTTTGGGTCATTTTTTGATTGTTTTCTGTGTGGTGAAGATAAGAATTGGGTTAGGCATTCTTTGGAGAAATAAGAACCTTTCCAAGAGTAGCTGTTGAAGCTTGGATTTTTCAGTTTAGATATTTAAGATAATCTTTCTGTTGGTTGTGGTCCTAAAAGGTTTGTAGCGCTTCCTTTGTCATTCCCTGGGACCTGAGCGGTAGTTGGGCGATTCATTCCCTGTGGGCAGCTCTGCCTGTTTGTGGTGTTGGGAGCGTAAAGTGTAGGTCAGTGTGGTGCTGGGGCTGCAGTTCAGGATCAAAAGGATTTCTTCAGCATTGACATGGCACTGGTTCTTAAGGTCTGCTTGCATGTGGAAAAATCAGCGTTATGTTTGTTGGCTTGGAATCAGAGTTTATGAACTCCGTGCACTGGAGCTGCCCTGTGCATGGCCAGCAAGATTAGGTGTGCGCTGTTCCCTGGTGTGTCTGTTCCTGGGAGCTGAAACCGGAGCTGATGGGGAATGCAGTAATGCTTACAATGTCTTTGCTTAAAACAAGCTCTGGGCTGCGGGAATAATTCAGTCACAGTTGTGGCTGTGTTGCACCTTGCAGAGCAAGTCAGATTCGTGGGAACATGTTGCCCAGAGAAGCTGTGGATGCCCCATCCCTGGAAGTGTTCAAGGCCAGGCTGGATGAGGCTTTGAGCAACCTGGTCTAGTGGAAGGTGTCCCTGCCCATGGCAGGGGGGGTGGAACTAGATGGTCTTTAAGGTCCCTGCCAACCCAAACCATTCTGATGGTCTGTCGCTACAATAAAATCCATTGTGCTTGGTTATGGGGGCAAGAGAGCTGCTAACTGGGTGCACTGCTTGTTGGCTTCTGTCTCTTGCTGTGTTTAGGTAACTTCTGGGCCTGACCTAGTAAGCTCAGGTCTCCAGTTTGGGCCCTAGGACGCTGGAAAAATGCACAGCAAGTCTAAGCTGGACCCAAGCTGCTTCCTGTAGCTAGTCTGTGTCTAAGGCATTCTTCCAGCTGTCTCTTCTAGTACTTTTATTGCCCCTCTCTTTTCTTGTCTTAGTTTTTTTTTTCCCCTGAAGTATCAGATATGGAACTTGATAGTGCTATAAAAGCATTCAGATCTCATTAAAAGTTTCTGACTTCAAATTAATTCACAGTGGGTCCAAAAATAGAAATTAATCTAGAGGAAAATTCTGTTAATGAAATGGGGGTTTTGTTCTCTTATCATAAATAAGTTCTTATATAAGTTTGGCAAAGGTAGACTGAATCAGTTAAAATGGAACTGTAAATCTTGATGTTTGAATTTTTCCAGATTGAAGAAGGCGTTATGGTGATGGAAGATGATTCTCCCGAGGAGGCTGTTAGTACTCCAAATACACCCCGCAACCTTGCTGCATGGAAAATTAGCATCCCATATGTAGATTTTTTTGATGATCCCTCCTTGGAAAGGAAAGACAGAAAGGAAAGAATTCCTGTGTTCTGCATTGACGTAGAGCGAAATGATAGAAGAGCAGGTATGCAATGTTGTGGATAAATGAAATGTAATTTTAAAATGAACTAAAAGTATTCTGATGGCGGCTGCAGTGTGTTTTGCATACATTTTTCTGATTTTGAAATAATGACTTGAAAATTCTAGGAAAATGTGTTTGAGAGCTAAATGATCACGTGTCATATAGGCGAGTTGGGAATTCATTTCTCAGCATGAATCGGTTCCATTTAGACTTCATGCCAAAACTTGAGGTTTTCTTTTTCAAAAGTATTGATCCTGTGATTCATATTAATCAACACCTGGCATATTTTCTTTCACCTACTCTGAAATTTGGAATAATGAACAATAAATCACTTTATATATAACCTTAAAATATCGTTCCTAGCAAATTTAAATGCTTTGCTTATATTAGGAGCCATCATGGCTTGCAGATAGTTCATTACTATCTGGATAGTAAGACATCCATATAAAGTGGAAAAACCAGCATCATCCTGGGGATGCATGGTTTGTGTTAGTCAAACTAATACTTCCACAATAAGCAGGATATGTTTGAGTTAGTTAGTTAATGTTTTCCAGGGCAAAGACTCATCAGGATTCAAGCTGATGGTGCAGAGGATTGTATTCAACAAGTAATAGTTGTGTAAATCGTTTGGTTTAAAGTTTGCAAATAGTTTTAAAGTAGTCAGCCCTAATAAACCTTGAAGTTATGCAGCACTCCATTGTTTAGGGATCCCCTAAATGAGATGATAATATCCTTGCTAGTACCATGTCTATCAGGTGTGCACTTTAACACAAATTATCTGGCCTGGGTTTTTTTTATGTTATGGCAATACAGGGAACTAATATCATATGTTGGATTATTATAGGAAAAACCTATGTTTGCTGTTGCTTAATTCATCAAGTGGCATAAAACCCGGTTTATTTTTAATGCTGGATTTGTTTTGGTTTGGTTTTATTCCCCTTAGTTGGGCATGAACCTGAACACTGGTCCGTCTACAGGAGGTATCTTGAATTTTATGTGCTTGAATCGAAGCTAACGGAATTTCACGGTATGTTCTCCATCATCAGGAAAGCCACTTTCCTACTGCTGTGATTATCGTGCAATGCTGAGCTGAAATTTAAAATAACGAAACCAATGTTTGCTGCCTTGCAACAATAATTTTGTCTCTGTGATGTCTTTATTAGGTACGTTTCCTGATGCTCAGCTTCCCTCAAAGAGAATCATTGGCCCCAAGAACTACGAGTTCTTGAAATCGAAGAGAGAGGAGTTTCAGGAGTATCTGCAGGTATTAAACTTTTGGAGCAAAGAATATACTAAACCCAGTAATATACAATTAATAAAATAATATCTGGGGGGTTTTCCTTCTTTGCTTCCAAGTAAATTGGATTATAGAAAGGATTCAAGTGGGCAAGTAAAAACTAAGTTTCATGTGACTGGAAACAGAAATCTTTTGCAAATGATAATATCTATGGTAACATAATGCTCTTTGAATATGTCTTTTTGCTACAGAGAAACTGTTTTTTAAAGATTATTTTTAAAGTACTTGTACTTCTTTCTTTCCTTTTGTCTCAAAGAAACTTCTGCAACACCCAGAACTAAGTAACAGCCAGCTTTTAGCTGATTTCCTGTCCCCTAATGGAGGAGAGACTCAGTTTCTTGATAAAATGTTGCCTGATGTGAATCTTGGTATGTAATATGCTAGTTGTTTATGCTGAGGAACAGTAATACTGTGGATACTGTGCTTGAATGATAGTAGTAATGAGTAGATAACTCTTGTGTAAGGCTATGGATGTGGGAAGTAAGAACTCTGCTCCTTCACAGCCCTTAAAATTACAGCTCAGCAAGCAAGATACGGTGATACTTTTTCTTTGAAGGAAGAAGACGTTTTGAGATTATGGAAAAAAGTGGTTAAGTGGCTGCTTTTGAATTTTAGTGTCAGCAAGCAAAGTGATAAGACTTCTCTAACACATTTCATAGTTCAAGACGATGTACGGTATTGTCACGAGTCAAATCTGCACAAGTCAGTCATTGCTTACAGGTGTGATGGTATAAATGGTTTCTTAATATAAACTACCTTTGAGTGTTAGTTGATTAAAACCTGTTTATTTTAATCTGAAAATGGCAATGTTTTATATTTCTAGTACTAGCTAGCAATAAGAACTCTTTTTAACATGAACTACTGTATAGAATTTGAGGCAGTGATGTGTGTGATATAGGCGCAGGCCACATGGAAATTGAGAAGTTGAGAGATTGTTGATGTCTGATGTAACAGTTGATAATAAACCCAAAAAGGAGACTGCAGTACAACTTTACACCTTGGCTGGAATGTACCTGTCTCAGGATAGTGGGCCTGAGCTGGTAAGGTCAACCTCATGGCCATTCTGTCTTTGTGTATCGTAGCACTTGTGGTTCTGGCACCAGTGTGGTTGGGGAAAGCCATGTCTGCTTCACCCAGTCGTGGTGTGAACCTGCTGGGACGGCCACTTTCTTAGTGTGCGTACGAAGTTGAATGAGATTTCAGTGGTCGTCCTCCAGTTACAGGGCTTTGTTCTGTTTCAGACCTCCCCTCTAGATACAACAGTGTGTTGTTAAATAAACAGCTTATAATCACAGTGTTTACTGTACTGCATCTCATACCTGAGACTGTGCTTCACTTTCATCAACACAGTTTTAACGACTCGGGCATTTCAGTGGAGCATTTTGTGAGAATGAGCGATTCTGTTATCATTTGATCCTTGTATACATACTTTGTGATGTGAGTTCCAAATTTAAGGACATGTAGTTAAAACATATCACTGTAATGTAGTGCTTAAAATTAATCCTAGACACTTTCATTTTTTCAGCTTTCAAGCTTCCTGTGCTGTACCCCGATAGTCTTAACAGGACAGAAGAGCTGTTTTTTAAGACCACAGCTGTAGCCTGTCCAATTTGTAAAACTTTACTCACCAGTATTTTCAAGACTGGATCCTTGAGAATCTCTCCAGATTAGCTGACATTTTTCAGGGCAAGAGGAGAATCTTATGTTTTGTGGTTTCTTTTGTCATAAATGTTTGTGAGGGATGAAGAACTTAAATACAGAACGTTGTGCCTATGCTGGTGTCATACGATACACCAGTCATGTTGCTACACCTATTTATGTTTGAGCCTCTAGAAAAATTATAAAAGCAGATCTAGAGTACTTTTCTTTAAAAAAAAAACCTCAGATAATCATCTGTATATTTTTCATCTTCTAAGTATCATTTCTAGAAGAGTACAAAGCATTACTTTATAAGCTGGATATGTGGAAGACTTCATTTTCATGGCTCTTTGTGACAGATTAAATAAAATACCCATGTTAGACTCACATTTTTTTAGTTACGTACTAGACAATGGGTACATAAAACGTAGCAGAGCAAAATGTCTTTAGGATGAGGTGGTGATAACAAAGTTTTTGTTCGTTTGTTTCTAATTGTAGGTAAAATTATAAAATCGGTTCCAGGAAAGCTGATGAAAGAGGTGAGTAGGCTTTCTGGGTTGCCAGCATTTGAACTTCAGTAACTAATTTTTTGTGCTTACTAACTTCCAGGCTAGTCAAAAATTTGTTTAGAAACTCAGTTGGTTTTTTTTTTCCTATAATTATGCAAGTGACAGGTCACTCTTATTTCAGAAAGGTCAGCATTTGGAGCCATTCATCATGAATTTTATCAACTCCTGTGAATCTCCCAAGCCTAAACCAAGTAGGCCTGAACTTACCATTCTGAGTCCCACTTCCGAAAACAACAAGAAGGTACAGTATGTCATTTTCCTTCCCCACCTTACAGGAATGGGGAAAACTGACCATACTCTGCAAATGCAAAACAAATATAACAGTTCACCTATTTTGCATTGTCTTCTCACACAAGAGAGAGAACAGTAATGCAGAGAGCTTTGTCATCTTCGGTCTTGTAAATATCTTTGAGGCTTGTGGGGTTTTTTGAGGCTTGCTTTTTTTTTTTTAAATTCTTACTGGATTTGGAAGCGAGGATATAGAGTATAAAGCCTGGGAGATTGAGAGAAGAGGAGGGAAAACAGTGGTGTAAACAGAGAAAGTTTTAATGCCTCAAGGGAGCTTCCTTTTCAAAGTGAAGAGCTTGAGTGTTTGATGAAACATCAAACGTTTGTCAACGTGCTTCACGCCAGAATTGCTGAGGTGCTGATACCTGTTTATCTGCCTTTAAAACATTAATATACAGTTCGTGGATGTCTTAACATACATAATAGGTTAACTGTGTAACTATAGTATCGTTTCCCTCTCCAACACTGCCACAGCTAAAGCCCAACACTTCCAGTTTTAACCTTTTACTTGAATATAGGATAAGGTAGTTCCTTTCTTAATCTTCCTGTATTTGTAGCTGGAGCCTGGTAAACCTACCTGAACGACTTCTGTTAGCTTCCTGGGCTTTAAAAAGACACTGCTCTTTATAATTCTGTGTTAGACTGCTTCAGAGTGTTAATGTATTTGAGAAATTTACAGAGGAATATTGTTTCTGGAGTATGATTTCATAGACCCAAGCTCAGTGTTACAGAGTTGATGTGATTTGGGGCCAACTATTTAATGTGCATACGCTTTGCCATGTGAGAGGTTCTGAAAGAGAACTCAGTACTAAATGGTTTTCTGCTGTCTTGTTTGCTTTGGGAAGAAGAGTTGAAACTGGACTGTGTAAGCTGGGACACTTCATCGTGCCTCATCCCTGCAAGTGTTCAAGGCCAGGCTGGATGAGGCTTTGAGCAACCTGGTCTAGTGGAAGGTGTCCCTGCCCATGGCAGGGGGGTTGGAACTGGATGATCTTTAAGGTCCCTTCCAGCCCAAACCAGTCTGTGATTCTGTGGTCTTGCGAAGTGACAAATTGGAGATGTATGATAGTCCAAAGAATAATGCATAGAATGAGAAAACAGGGGATAAAGATTGGGGTTCTAAGTGAAGGTGGTAGGACCCAGGTTCAGAACATAAAGTGGTAGCTCTTGCGATGGTTAGTAGGTTTGTGTAACGCACTTCCAAAAGGTGCTGTGAATACTTGACGTTTAAATAACTGTAAGGTGAGACATATTCACACAAAGGAAATACATTCTTCTTGCAAGAACTGGAAGCCTGTGAACCATTTATGGTTCTTGTTGGTGATGGGCTGTTGAAAAAATGGACCTTACGATTTCCTTCACTATGGACACTTTTACGGTGTTATGACACTTAGAGAATTTGCAGCTCCAAAACTTTTATATGCATTAAATAAAATGGCACTTAAATCTATTAACTTGCTTAGATTTCATCTTCTGAACCTGAACTCTGAATCACTACAGCCAGTGTTGCAGTGTTCGCTTACATGTGCACAGGCACAGAATTAGTGTCCTTCATTTCAAGTCCTTTCTTACTATGGACACTACTTCCAAGGTTAAAATATTTTGCTATTACTGCCAACCCAGAGGGGTATAACTGTATCAGCAGTTTTAAAAATCAGATGTAGGGCTTTTGATTTGTGCTAGAAACAGTGCATGCACAAATACCTCTGGTGGGGTGGTTTGGTTTTTTAATAAAACAGCCGACAGCATTCTACAGAGTAGTATGAACAATCAGTTAATTTTTTGCTGCGATCCAGCAAGAACTGTTGAAGTTAGTAGTTTTAATACATTTAACATACTTAAATAAAATATTTGAGTGACGAGCTTTGCGCTCTGAAGCATTCCTGTGAGGACAGAATTCTGCAGTCTGCTTGAAAAACTTTATTAA